TTAATTTATTCTTAATTCAACATTCAACATACACCCTGCTTGTTGGGTAGGCAGTGGGTCTATTCTTCTTTTCCTCACAAAAAGTCCCTAGAACCCACACAGGGAAAATGTAGAAATTAGAATAAGACTGGGACAGAAACCTGTAATACCATTCTTTAACTCTTTGAGTTCCATGGAGAGCATTATGCACCGATTTATAACTAATTTGACTAACCTCTGGTACCAGATAAGTTAACTCTTTCGGTACTGCAATATTTAGCACAAAATCCTAAGTGGGATAAAAACTGTGAATTTTAAATAGAGACTAAACACAGGGAATGGCTTGGGTATCCAGATTTTTGGAATCAATTTGACCAGATAAAAAAATATAGATAAAAACATATTATTTGTTGGCTTGGGTAAGAAAATTTCTGGAATATTATTTGACCAAATAAAAATGTATATGGAAACACATTATTTATTGGCCTGGGTATCCAGATTTCTGTAGTATGATTTGACCAAGTAAAAAATATATATATGAAAACGCTTTATTTGTTGGCGTGGGGATCCAGATTCCTGTAGTATGATTTGACCAAGTAAAAAATATATATGAAAACGCTTTATTTGTTGGTGTGGGTATGCAGATTTCTGTAGTATGATTTGACCAAGTAAAAAATATATATGAAAACGCTTTATTTGTTGGTGTGGGTATCCAGATTTCTGTAGTATGATTTGACCAAGTAAAAAATATATATGAAAACGCTTTATTTGTTGGTGTGGGTATCCAGATTTCTGTAGTATGATTTGACCAAGTAAAAAATATATATGAAAACGCTTTATTTGTTGGTGTGGGTATGCAGATTTCTGTAGTATGATTTGACCAAGTAAAAAAATATATATGAAAACGCTTTATTTGTTGGTGTGGGTATGCAGATTTCTGTAGTATGATTTGACCAAGTAAAAAATATATATGAAAACGCTTTATTTGTTGGTGTGGGTATCCAGATTCCTATAGTATGATTTGACCAAATGAAATAAAATGTCTAGCAGGTACATTATGGCGACTCCCATTAAAAACTTTTCTTTTTCTTTCTTTCTACCCCCCAATGGAGCATAGGCCCTCAACTGACTCACACCAAGTCGTTCTATCATTTGCTATCGCATGCAGCTCTCCCCATGTCCTTCCCATCTTTCTAACTTCATTCTCCAGCTGCCTTCTCATTCCAGGTGCCAATTCTGCAGGTCTCAAGATCCGGACTCCTTTCGGCTTTCTCCACACCGTGTCATACTTCTTCTACTTGAAGGACCTTTCCTCATCTTGGTTGGCTGGGTTTTACTTGCTTCTCTTTTTGTCTTATCCATGGTTGGTTGGTTTTTACGGCTGTTATTTTTACAGAAGGAGGTAGCCAACCTCAAAGCCCACCCCTACCCTTAGTCGCCTCTTACGACATGCCTGGTAGGGTGCGGTGTCACTATTCTCTGCTTCCCGCGAGGGCCTCGGTGACACACGGGCAAGTATAGACTTATACAACACACACAAAAACACACACAAATCCTTACATCTCTTGCTCCCCTGCAAAAAAAAAAAAAAAAAAAGCTGAAGGCAGAGAAGAACAAAAAGAGTCCTGAAGAGATGTTACAACTATCAGAGGTATCATTATCATCATCATCATCATGTTGCAGGTCCTTTGCAGAACATTGCTCTCATCACAGTATGCCTGAAAGATACTTGGTCTCTCGCCAGTTCTCCCACCTCATGTACTTTCATACTCAAGGAATCACTTATATCCAGTGCCCATCTTCGTGTTGGTTGGCCCCTGTCCCTCCTTCCTGGTACCATGCCTTCTGCTATAATTTTTTCCAATTTGTCGTGGCGCCTGATGTGACCAAAATATTTCACCCTCCGAGACAGGATGCTGTTTATTAGCCAATCTTTCTTGATGTTCAGATCTTTCAAAATGTCAGTATTTCTCCTGTTTTTCATCCAAGATATTCTGAGAATCTTTCAATAGCATTTCAGCTCAAAAGTCCCTATTCTGTTTCTTAAGGACTGGGAGATAGTCCGCGACTCACATCCGTATGTTGCCACAGGGAAGGTGCATGCTCTAAGAATTCAAATTTTGATCTCCTTGTTCTTCTCTTCCACCTTGTACCTCAGCAAAGTGTGGGGGAGGGGGGTGGGGATGTAATGTTTGTTGATGACCTCTGTCAAGAGCACTATTAAGACTGATGTTCATTTCTGTAAGGTGTTGTTGATGCCATCACACCATATTTTCCGAGGTCTTCCACTTGCTTCCACTCGCTCTATACGCGTTGTAACTTTTTAGTGTGGCTCGCTGTGGCAGATAGTGCCAGGGCATTCTTGTAAGGTGTCCAAACCACTTCATTTGTTGTTCTTTGACTGGCTTTATTCCTAGCATTCATCTGATTTTGTATTGTCTTTCCTTGAAACTCCTGCCGCTCTTCTAAGGCATTTCATCTCTGTTGTCACAATTTTACATTCATGTAAACTCAGGCAGAAAGATTTGGTTGTTTGTATGAACATTCGTTGTACAGATCTGACTTTTGTATGTGCAGACTCTTGGTTCCTCACCTCTTAGGCACTCCGACTTCACAGGAAGCACCCATAATTAGTTGGGTTTTATGACATGTATGTTAAGAGGGCAGCAGGTGCATTTTTTTCCCCCTCTACAGCGCTACAGTGATGCCCTAGAACCCACAGAGGGGGCACATGTTCTAGTGTATGTCTGTCTACTGTGATGTTCGCCCGGCTCTCTAGCATAGTTGGCTAAACCGGATTGTGCGGAGACCAGGTGATGAACTCCTTGTGGTCCGGGTTCAATCCCGGGGGTAGGCAGGAAAGCCACATTTCTCCCAGATTTACGGTATTTACAATGGAATCAAGGCCGAAAGGTTGCGATATCCATAATACCGAGCCTAAGGGTTAACAACTCATGGCTTCTGGATACTAAAACAAACAAACTACTGTGATGTTCATGTTGGCTTCTAATTTTCATTGTTAAACATCAGAGTTGTTGTTAACGTACTGCTTATTAGCATATAACATTCACTTCATATTTTTCTCTCCACAGAGAAGACTTGCGTCGAAGTGAAGTTTCTGTAGTTCAGTGAACATGTTTAACAGTCCTTGACATACCAGGGTTTAATTTCCGAGGTGGTCAGTGTAGAAACCGACTCTTCTCCTGACTTTTGAATAGTGGTACAAGAGTCAGACTTTGGCAGAAATTGGGGCCTCAGCACAAGACATTCCTAAAGACCTCAGTAGACACACACATCCACTACAGCCAGCTTTCATTGGGGAGCTGTATAAGCTGAGTTGAGTTTGAAAACCTGACATCACAGATCTCAGGAAATTCTCATAAGTGCTCAGTCTCCATCTTCAACAGCTAGTGAAGAGTTCCAACTCATATGCTACCAGCAAAAGTTGGAATACAGCTGTATCAAGTTTGTATTTGTTGATGTAATATCTTGGGCCTGATGAGATACAGCGAAGTATACCGAGCAATAAATTGTACAATATATTATTTGTTTCCTTACTGTTTAAATTGTTGCTTGGTTTGACAAATTCATAAAACGTAATTTAATGAAGTCGTAAACTATCATTTTACAAGTCATAAACTGTGATTTAACGAAGTCGTAATCTGTCATATTACAAGTCATAAACTGTCATTTAACGAAGTTTCAAACTGTCAGTTGACAGTCATAAACTGGCATTTGACAGAGTCATAAACTGTCATTACAGTCTTCATTTACCACTTTTAGGCAACGGGTCTTTAAGCCTGAAGATTAAGGGTCACATGGCTAGTGCTGTCGCCACTGACTGTGCTGGCTGGGATTTTATTTTTGCCCTCGACAGAAAAAACCCACAACCTTACTGAAGATTGGAATCTGGGCCTTTGGCATGAGAGACCAGCGTTCTTAACCATTTAACCAGCTGCTTCTCAATTCATTTAAATTTGTTAAGATAACCGTGATAAAACCCAACATCCTGGTGCATCTCGGTTATAATTGGGGTAACTAGTATGGCTTGGTTTTCATTTGTTGCTGAGCCGCTTCTTATTTAGTGAAGTCAATACTCTTCACTGTCTGAAGGCATTTATGATTTAGTTCATTTTTGTTGTATATTTATTTTATTGGATGTTATATAAGAGATGTAAATCAGATAGTTCTATAGTCTCTGCAAGGTCAGGTTGGCTTTGTCAGAAGAAAATGTTCATATGAATTCATAACAGATTATTTAACAGTTTATGTTTTTAAAAAAATAAATATTTTTTACATCATTATCTGAGTTGCATAACAACACATATCACTGGGTGGCTTTTCAGCATCCTCCACCTCCATTGGTCAGATACAAGTGACTTGATGTTTGTATGTTTGAGGCCAAATTAAATATAAAATGTTGCTAGTAAATTTACCAGTTCCAAAATGATACCAGCATCTTTTAAGTAAAATTAAGACATAATTATTTATGTTGACACTAAACATAAATTGATATCGTGAAACATAAGTATTCACCATTTAATGTTTTCGTTTTAAGATAGTCTGTTATTAAGTAATTGGGGTGTGCCTTTTTTCATTAACTATTCTGTTATTAAGTAATTAAAATGTGACTTTCTGAGTATATTTGCCTGGTAATTAATTATGATGTGATGTTTTTTTTATTTTTTTTTTTAGTATAGGAAGTTTTAGTTATTACGTAATTATTATGTGATTTCTTTTTCTTTTTTAAGTAGCTAGCCTGTTAATAAGTAATTAGGAAGTAACGTTTTGAGTATTCCAATTAAGTAATTGTGAGATGGTATCTTTTGGTTTTGGAATACCCCAGTCTGTTATTAAGTAATTAGGAGATGACTTTTTGAGTTCCTGGAATGTCAAATCTGCAGGAAGCAGTCCAGACAGAAAGCAATAATTAGCAGGTTTGGCAATAAATGACATTAACAGTTGAATTTGCAATGAGCTTATCACCTAGGAATTCAAATTATATGATGGAAAACTTCACCATGCTCAAGGAAAATAATAATGCACGATTGCTGCATGTCTATAATTCAAACGTGCGGCCAAACAACTCCAAAGTTCAGCAGGCAAAAAGTCTGGCATTCTTGCCGATACTCGGTTTTATCATTTTTGTGATCTGTTCGTTGCTGAAGGTTTACAAGTGGTCACGAGACAGCGCCAGGTGGAAAGCTCGGGGTGATGTCGAGTTTGGGGATGAGGCGGAGGTCAACTATGGCATCATTCAAGCCGGGGACAAGGATTTCTGCCAGATCGACATCCTCTCTGATGGTACTTCAGTTTATGATACTGTTAACTCTTTAAGATTTTTTGGCAATGGATACGCCACTCACATGAGTGATTCTTACCCATATCATGATACGGTCACATCCTATAAGTCTCTGCTGACCCAGAAGGCTGGAGACGGCAGTCAGTACTATGATACTGTGAAATCTGATAGAGCATTTTCACAGAAAAGGACTCAAAGCAGAGACCTAGCTGTGCAAGTTAATCTTCTGGGAAGTTCTCCACTCTGGAGAAGAAGTGTTTCATACTGTTGTGCTCAAGAGAAAGAAAGATCAGAGATGACGGCATCAAGGAAAAATAGCACTGTGCCTTTGAAGAAACAGTTAAGTAGAGATGGCCAGATGCTTCAGTTTGAAAGCAAGACATCCAGACGTAGAAGAGCCAGTGGTGATGTCTCAACAACGAAGAAGCGATCATTGTCACAGCCGTCATCCCAATGGGTTAACAATCCAATCTGTCATTCACCATCCGTACATCAATCATATTCTTTTGCTGGTGATTCCGAAGAAGGCATCCTTCAGAGTTTTCGGCTTGATAGAAGGACGTACGTCAGTAAGAAAAGGCGAATGCTGTATTCATCAAATGGGAAAATGCTGACTTTTCCTGTTAGTTCATGTCATTCAGCACCATGTTCCCACAAAAACAGTGGAGCTGGGAATTTTCCAAGGCGAAGGCGGCATTTTTCCGTGGATAGTGTGCAGTATTTAAGACAAGCAACTGTTAATAACATCAGCCAGAAATATTTCTGTGAAGAGGATCTGACAAATTCATTTAACATTGCAGCTGGTATCAAAATGATAATGAAAAATCAATCTTTTAATGAAAAAGTAGCAGGGTCTCCAAAGTGCTCGAAAACTTCCCACCTACTAGATGTGTCTGCTCCATTGATTTCAGGTTCTGACCGTGATATTAACATAAACAAACACATACCTTTGTCCATGGTGTCTGATGGTCACATTTTAGAGAGGGATGTTTTAGCCAGCCTACATTCTGGAGCCAAATTTAGGTCCTCATCGGAAATCACCAAGTCCTCGACAAGACGGTCCATATCAGAAACTAGGACATTAATTTCTCATGCTAGAGAAGAATTCTTTAAGAACAAACTTAACAGTGCATTTTTGTTAAAGCCAAAAGAAATGACAGATTCACATTCAGGTACAGCTGTGGGGAGCACAGATTCCAGGAATTGTTCGAGTGTTAAAATTGTACCTTCAGACTGTCGTCAACTTTCAAACAGTGAAAGTAATTCTGTATCCGTGGAAGATCAAATTAGTGTCAATTTAGAGTCTGATAGAATTAGTGTCAATTTAGAGTCTGATAGACTTAATGTCAATTTAGAGTCTGGTCAGCAGCCTTCTTTGGGATCATGCTCTAAAAGTGCTTGCGTGAACAAGAAGAAGAGTGTAAATTCGCTAAGGAAGCAGCAAAACGTAGATATGGTTGAAACTAACAGGTCAGACAATGTCAATGTTGGAGCTGTAGATCCCTCAACCAAATGTAATCTTTATAAAGTTCGGCGTTTTCAAGTCACGTATGTTAATGCGAAAATGTCAAGTCTTGTTTCTGATGGTGCTAAGTTGAGTTAGGTTTAAAAAAAAAAGGACAGATAATCAAAATTCCAATTGTATAACAAATGGGTCACCTCAAAGTTGCTCCCCTTCCTAAAGCAGCAAAAACCACACAGGCTGTCCATCACTGTTGCTTGTGAAAAAATGGATGCAGACTGCAGTCTTAGCAAATCCAGCAGCATGCACAGGCATTAAATGCATGAGGCAGCATACAGTAGTGGAGACACAAAAAGTCTGATTTTAGAAAGGCAGTTCATTATCAGCGGAAGTAGGAGTTACAGTAGATCAATAGTTGCACATGAAATTAATCGCATAAGGCACCACAAGTTCTCTGGTAACAGGCCACTCACCATTTTCTGAACCTGCAGTTCGCAACACAGACCACATTAGGCACAGTCAAAAAAGCATTCCCAATTAAATGCGCAGCTCGGTAGCGGGGCAGTGGAACTATATCTTTTAAGTTCCGGTGTGTTTTACTGTTTAGGAGGTTTTCCTTAAAGTCAGAATGCATCTGCCTGAGAGGCAAAGAACTAACAGTCTACATGCAAATAAGTCAGATTTACAAAACTGATTGCATGAAAAACTCAAGTTTTGGATCAAGACCAAAGTCCAGGAGCGGACGAACAACCAGAACTTTCTGTCGGAGTTTACAGCCGATGAATGCTAAGAAGAAGATAATTTACATTCATTAAGATCTCTACAGAATTTAGAATTGGTTGTAGTAAAAACTATCACAGAATATACTTGTAAACTGCTGCTACTAAATTGCTGAAACGTTGGACTGAACCAAGGTTTTTTACATCTTTTTTAACACTGTCGGAGCCACATTAGCGCAGTCGATAGGAGACTCGCTTTCATTTCCAGCTGCAACTCTCTTGCAGCCTGTGGCTGATGTTCGAAACCTGGCGGTTCCCGGGGTTCACCCAGCCTCTAGGTAATGGGTAGCAGAGTTTCCACTCTGGGGTAAATGGAGGAACGTCGTTGTAGTTACGGAGTTGCGTGTGGTCGGCGACACATGCGGACAGTTTCTTACCAGCTGTCCATACTGGTGGCAGAACACTTTTGGTTTTTAACCATGTGCAATGACGCTGGTTCACATCTCCTGAATTTACCTTTACCTTTAACATTGTCCCAATTAAATTATTTCAGCGTCCACGAGAATATAAACAGTTTTTCTGTAGAACCGGCAACTAACTGTAGTTTTCATCTTCTTCCTTTCCCCAGCTGTAAACTCCAGAAAAAAATTCTCACTGTTCGTCCACTTCTGGACTTCTGATTTTTGCAACACTTGAGTTGAGCTGAGTCAAGAATTGACATCAAAGCACTCAGAGCATTCCCATGCATGCTCCGTCCTCATCTTCAGCAGCCAGCGCAGAGTTCAAATACTGATGGTACCAGTCACAATCTGGTTATATGTCTGTCTAGCCTTTCTTCTGAGTGTAGTGAGCTGGCCAGACCCTTTGGTTATACCCAGGTGCCTCATTCTCTCCAGGCCATAAAAATCGTGTTTCTCTACTGATTCCATTGCTTGTTTCCAAAGGGCCTTGACTGCAACACTTGAGTTTTGCATGCATATTGGTTTTACAAATCTGGCTTATTTGTATGCAACTGCTGGTCCCTTGCCTCTTCAATGATACACCTCTAATTAATTAATCAACTGTTATGACATTGCATGTTGGGGAAAGGCGCAGGAAAGTGTAGTCTTTATTAAGTTGAAAGTTTTCACGACACATATGTTAAAATCAAAATGTAATCTTTTCACATCACATATGTTAATACCAAAATGTATAGTTTCATTTCCGGTGGAGCAGAATCAAGTTTGTGTTAGCTTTATAATCTCATCTTTTTAAACCCATAGCCTGTGAATGCTAAACCTTCTTTTTCTTCTTTCGTTCAATTATCTATATCTGCAATTTTATCTCTAGAATGAACTTCACTTTAAGATTAGATCTATTCGCAGATATAGGTAAATTTCCTATTGCATTTGTGTGTTGCATTCTGATTTTTTACGGTGCGCCTCCTCGCTAGTTGCCTCCAACTTCAGCACCTAATTTTAATTAATGCTAAACCTAGTCACTTCCAATTGTGACACAGCCCCGTAAATTCTGATATATAGCCCTTTATGCCATGACTTGTTCTCAGAAAACATTATTTAATTCCATTGGTTTGATTGTGCCTCTGTGCAGCGTTAATAGGCCAGGATAAGAATATCTTTTTCTTCAGCATTCCTAGCCCTTGAGGTTCACTGCTGCAGATATCACCCGCCTCCATTCATCTCTCTGGTTGGCCTTCTTCAGCATTCCTAGCCCTTGAGGTTCATTGCTGAAGATTTCACCCATCTCCATTCATCTCTCTGGTTGGCCTTCTTCAGCATTCCCAGCCCTTGAGGTTCATTGCTGAAGATATCACCCATCTCCATTCATCTCCCTGGTTGGCCTTCTTCAGCATTCCGAGCCCTTGAGGTTCATTGCTGCAGATATCACCCATCTCCATTCATCTCTCTGGTTGGCCTTCCATTCCAGCTGGTGACACCAAGTGTTTGCAGATCTGTTCGGACATTATCTCCACGTCGTCTTCCTGGTCTGCCTCATGGTCTACGACCATTCATCTCCCTTGTGTATATGGTTTTTACTTTTCTGTCATCTGACATTCTCTAAATATGCCCCAACAATTTCAGTCTATTAACTCTTGATGCCATTAATCAATGGTGATTTAAACAGATTATGAATTTCATTGTTGCTTCTCACTCTCTATTCCCTGCTGTTTGCATCTTTGATGATAAGAATATAGTAACTAAAAATAGCATGTGGGGGGGGGGGGGGGGTCCTAATGACCCAGTTTTTTTTTTTAAAGCCAAGTTGATGTCAAATTTTCCAGCAAGCCTCAATGATAAAGGTCACAGTGTCTTTGCATGAATCACCCAGTGTAAATTATTTATTAGGCCTCAGTGAATGTATTCCATATAACGCTTCACTGTGTTCATCTTTATTGATTACCCCTTTTATCTGCTATTTTTTTTTTCTCTCTCTCAATGTTCACTGGCCGTAAACTCTGGTAGAAAGTTTTGGTTGTTTGTCCATTTCTGGAGCTGAATCTGGTTCCTGAACTTGAATTTTGTGTGCACATCCGTTTTAAAGGTCTGGCTTACTTGTGTGCAGACTGTTGGTTCCTCACCTCTCAGGCAAATGTGCTCCAACTTCAGAGAAAGTATTCCTTTGTTAGTCATCTATTGAGACCAGCTTCTTGGAAAAGGGGGAAGGGGGGAGGGGGGGGGAGGGGAAGGTATTTTCTTCCTTTTTTTCTTCCAAAATGGGGACCTGGCAACCTTTGTGGGGAACCCTTCTTATATATATTTTTATATTTTCACAAAAAAACTTGTAACAAATATAAAATAACCCTTGACCTATTAGGGTCGTGGAGGTGTATTGATGGAAGCACTAGCACATAAAACCCACCATCTTTATCTGTCTTCCACTTGATGAATAAGCGTATGATAACTTAGTCCTGTCCATTTCTTGATGTTTTCATTCCAAGTTCTTCCCTGCCCTTCTCTTCTTTAACTAGCCCTCTCCCCCTCTCCCCCCCCCCCCCCCCCAATGTTCCTTGAAGAAAAACTTATAAACGTAGATAAATACATTTAAAAAACAATTAGTGACTTATGTAGAATGTTGTTTTAAAAAAAGATTTTTCCGCTTGGAATTCCTGCATGATCCATATATTTTTTTAGCATTCACGGGGTTAAAGGGTTTCAACAGAACACAACTTAGAAGTCATATCAATTTTGTGTAAATCTTTTAGGGAATAAGTTCTTATCTTCTATTGTGTTCACCCTTTAAAGGGCATTTGCAATTTTATTTTGTAGTTTACAGCTGGGCTGCGATATCTGTGCCTTTTTGCCCATAAATCCTATTTTGACAGATTCTCAATTAGTCACTTTTATGACACGTTTGTTTGAAGGAAATGGGTGTATTCTGCCCCCAAGTGGAGTTCTGGAACCCACATGTAGAGATAATTAGTTATTTTTATACACTCTTTATTATATATAACTTTTGGGTACTTTCATAATAATTCACCTCAAACAGGGGGAACCCCAGAATCCGTGCAAAAGTCCAATATTATAGGTTTTTGGGTTAGCGTTTCTGCTTGTCGGTGTTCATTTCAAACCTTAATAACCCTATAATGCTCAACTTTTCAGGGGATTCAGGGGTCCCCCCGTGTTTGAGAGGGGTGAGCTAAAATTAAAGTACCAAACGATGGAATATCTTTGTGATGTTACTGTATTTGTGTGTGCAAAATTTTAAAGTTTGTGATGTAATATTTCTGTGTTAAGGATAAACAGAAATATCTCTGAGTAAAACACATTTCTATTTTGAGAAACAAATATGGAGACTTACCCCTCGCCAGACATATTTCAGCGACTCGTAAATTTGCCACAAGTTTTTCATGAAATCCTTCATAATTGTGACATATCTTGCAAAATTATTTTGTATACTGAGGTGTTCTTATAATGTGATTATTATCGTCAAATTATCAGATTTATTTTATACAATACAAAAGGTTATCCAATTTTTACATGTTGTTACACCATCAAATGTGTTTTATTCTGCTTACAAAATTCCAGCCTTTGAGTTGAGCTGATTTGATTCAAGAACTGAGATTACAGCATTCAGGGCATTCCCATAAGTGCTCCCTCTCCATCTTCAGCAGCCAGAGCAGAGTTCCAATACCAGTGGTGCCAGTAGCATTCTGATTATATGTCTATCTTGCCTTTCCTCTGAATGTAGAGTATCGGCCAGATCTCCTCGTCACTCCTCGCTCCATCACTCTCACCAGACTGTGGTGATCTGTTTGCTCCTCCGAATTTTACACATTCTCCTACAAGTCCCCAAATCATAACAAATGCCTAAACATATTACAAATCCCTAAATCTAGGATAGATTTTTGCAAAACCAGTTTGGCATACTCCGCGGCTCAATTGTGAAACTGTCTTCCACAACAAGTCAAACATACCACTAGTC